TAGGATGTGTTCTACTATCTAGAGAGAGCTTTGGGATGAAAAAGGCAGGGACTTGCCAGCTGCTAGTTTCCAGCTTCTTCCCTAAAAGAGGCTGGTGGACACCAAGGGAAGTATCTGGCAGTGCAATAGTATCTGGGCACACTCATTATTTACCACTTTCCTCACAAAGCTATGAAATTTTGAGGCATTGGACACGTTACATGCTTCCCTCACACACAACCAAGCAAGAAAATAACTTGACAATACTCACTTGGTTCTGTTTCAGAATAGACACTTGTTTCTGAAGGCAGATGTTCTCTTCCTCAAGTTCAGTGTAATCTTGTAGCAAGCGAGATTCTCGGAATTTATACTCTTTGATGTCATCTCGTAAGCGACCTCTCTGGATCTCAACATTTTGATTAATCTGTAAGACATGTTCTAGCATTAAATATTTTTTTGTCTTTTCTATGAGAGTACATGATCTAAAACCTGTGGTCTTGTAGAGAACCAGACACGATAAGGTAATAATATTATTATTTTAAACTTTTTAAAATATATATGTATGTCCTACCTTTCAGGGTAACATTCCTCCGAGAAGATTATAAATTACAATAAAATAAAATAACTGGGAAATAGGAAATAAACATTCAATAAATGTTATTTAGAAGTAAAGTCCTTTCTAGGAATGTTATGGTATGATGGGAAAATCCAGCTGGCTAGGTGCTTCTGTTAACTGTTGCATTCCTTCCTTCCTCTCCTACTACTGAGAGATACTTTCATGGCTAAATAATCCTATACCTTTCAGGCAATATATTCTTTGCAATGTTAATTTTTTTTCCACACTCCTATTTACATAAAAATTGGGAAGTGCCTATATGCCAGTCTTCCCAGGTAGATTACACAGGAAATACTACTGGATGAGCTAATTCTACTTTATTGTAAGGCTACATTAACAGAATCTTGCAAGTCTGAAAATACAAATCTCCTGCAATCTCTTTTACAACCTGAGAAGCAAGGGAGGGTCCCATTTGAGCCTCTTGCTCTGCCCACTCTCTAGCTGCAGGCTATGCTCTCTCTTATCTAACCATTTCCTAGGCAACATCTATTCATCCGTCTCCCAAGATCTTTCGCATTACACTGCGTATACTATTTCCTAGCTTAATATTTCTGAGCATTATTGTAGAACTATATGGGATTGTTACTATTGTACAAGCCACCCTTCTGCAAAGTTTCCCTACCCAATCAATGCTGCAGCTGCATTGACAGGGGATATTCCCAGAATGATCATACTGATAGATTTTAATTGCTTCCACTGGGCAGAAGATGGCTCAGGAATTCATTGCGTCTCTGGCAGCCCTGGACCTGACCCAGTTATTTATGTCCCTAACTCCCAACAGGTGAAACCTGATTTCTGTTTCAGGATAATGATGATGTGATCTGGAGTTGGAACATACTATTAATCCCTTATCATGGTCACAGATAACTTTTGTTTGCCTTTCAGTTATTTGCAGATGCTCAGGAAGGAAAGACCTACAGTTCTATCAAGGATATAGTTGCTATATGGAATTCAGGAAAATAACAATCCTGGGGCAGTTTATACTTATTTTGCAATTTGTTAGTAAAACAGCCATATAAATTGTATTAGACAGAGAAGAAAGGAAGGGAGATATCAGGAAAAACCCTTGATTCCCAACTTGAGTCTTGGGAATGCTGGCAGGCACCCTGAGCCATGGATTATTCAACAAGTTTCTCAATCTTAGCAACTTCAAACTGTGTGCATACTAGGCATGCTGGCTGGGAATTCTGGATACAAGTCCACACACAGCTTAAAATTGCTGAGGTTGAGAAACACTGAAGTAGATAATTTAGATCCATCATTCAGATGAGTCTTCAATATACAAATAAGGGAGGAGTAATAAAAATAATTGATTAAAATAACAATAATGTTCCCTGCCTTTTCAAGGATGCTTAGTCACTTTTATTGTCTCTCTTTTATTTCAAATAAGAAGCAGAAGCAGCATCGTAACTGTAATTAGTTTTATTTATTCTAAATTAAGCAACCAAATCAGGCCTACGGTGGAATTATCCTTTCCACAGGTAATAAACACACCCATTTTTCCAACCTGAAAAGATTTGTAGACATACATAAAATAAAAAATAATTTTCTTTTTTTTTTTTTTCCCAAAAATTTTTTTTTATTGTTTTCAACATAAAAAAAAAA